TTAATTCCTCAGCTCGAAGACGAGAAAGAAGGCAAAAATGGAGGGTCTTCTGCCTTTAGTTTACAGAGCAGTGAAGAAAAGTCGAACTCGCCGGGAATACGAGCGTCTCCGATCAGTATCTACTCCTCTCATAAACATGGCCGAGATCCATTCTCGCAGTTCCGAGAGTCATCTTTATCAGTTTCAGACGCCGGATTCAACCCAGACGGTGTCTGAGCTTTATGCAGACAGCCGCAAGAATCATCATCACCGGCGGCACAAATCGATCGGAGATTTTACTTCCGGCGGGTTATCGTCTTCTCAGCGGCACACAACCAGTGCTGCTCCGAAGCCTCTCGTCCGGTTTAGCAGTCACAGAAGAATGTTCTCATGTATTACTGCGTAGTGTAAGGTCCTTGCAGCTCAATTGGTGCTCCTTCAAGTTAATTAATTTTATATAGTATGATGTTAATGAATTGAAGATCCATTATGATGCTTGCAATTGTTCAAGTGTAGATGTATATATATTAATTTGCTATGTTTCTTTCAAGAAGCTAAATTTGTCTGAGTGGTGTGTAATCATAAAAAGATAGCCTTGAATAATTTTCTTGACATTGTTCAAGTTTCTTCCTATTGTTTTGAAGCTCTTTTCTTTTCTAGCCAAGGTACGTATGAACATATGTTGGAATACAGCTTCTCTCCACGGGTTGTTTTGTTTGCAAATAGAATTATCAATTATGAAATTAGAAAGAAAATGATTATACGAATTATGAAAAATAATCCTTTTATTTAAAAGATGATAGAATATATGTGGATAATATATTTATATATGCATGTATGCAAGAAAATGTATATTATTGTAATTTTCTTAATCTGTTTTAGAACATTTTACTTCGATCAATTAAAGTTGCCTTAAAGGGCGTTTTGGGAGTGGCTCAGCTGGTAAAATGGAATTGACCGAGGATGGCTAATAATTAAAGTTCTGAATAATTGTCCAAAGATGACCGCTTTAAGATATTATCGTGTAGCCAAAGGCAAAAGCCTGAAAAATAGTTTAAACGGAGAGTCAAAAGGGGATAAATATTTTGTAGTAAAATATATGCGGTCATGTTACTTTATTTTGGAAAAGAGCATAAAACACTCTGGTAAAAAGTTATTGGGTGATTAATTATTTTATTGGATTACCATTAAATTTTGTAAAAATGATTATGCAGTTTCATATAAGTAATTAAATCATAAAAAAGTTTTACGGTAAGTCAGTAATATAAACATGTTATCATTTCTTAGGTAAAAAATTGTCACTTTATTGTGAAATTTTTAATGATTAAATTGTGTATTTGAACTGCACAGTAATTTTTTGAAAAAGAATTTCCCACCAGTCGGACGGAGATTAAAAAGGGCATTAATTTCCACGACATTTTGAACAAACTCATGAGAAGCAAGTGGTATGCGCTTGAAAAGTATTGATGCGATTTAGATTTTAAATGTAGGACTCATTATATTATAAAATGAATTTTATATTTAGGATAATAATATTTTTCATTATTTTGATCCAAAAAAATTCCACTATATTGCTTTAAGAAAAATAATGAAGAAATGAAGTCATGTTAAATAATTAACTTTTTTTATGGTCATACAACAATGTTAGCTAGCATGCTTTATAGCTTATACTAATATCACACTAATTGAATAAAAACACAAAATATTCATTTTAAATATACATACTGAACTGGATTAATTATACGGGGACGAAACACTTGTTGACAATAATTAGTCACTGTAGGTTTGTCCATTCCAAGGTCGTAATTCAAATGATAACGCAATTGACAGCGCAATGGAACATAATAACGTCATTTAATGTTAAATATATGTCTTCTTAATTACGTTAGCACTCACGTAATCAGATGATTTTATTATACCCTTGGATTTTCATTATTATTTTTTTGTTTCCTTTGATTTCCAACGCTGATCCAACCTTCTAAGAGGGTAAGAGGCCGCTAGTGTGCGTGTGTAAAAGAGTGTAACCTTGGATTTTTGTCATTCATCCATTCATAAAATGCCAAGGAAGAGATGATTTTTTTTTAATTGTAATTAATTATAAGAAAACTAATCCTTTCGTCCAATGCAGTGTAAATTATATTATAAAATAAACTTTACATTTAAGACTGAAAGAGTATTTTATAGGTACTTATAATTTTTCTCAAATTTTAAGTTGGAATTTATAATGGACTAACATTGCCAATAGAGTAAAGTTTAAACAATTTAATCAAGAAAGAAATGATCCTTAATATAAGAGCTAGTTGACTAATTTGAGTAGATTAAGAAAATTAGTTAAGTTAGTTATTTGTAATAAATGAGTATTATCTTTCCTAAAATACCCTTGCTAATTAAGTGTCATTTGATGAATAATTTGATAGTATAACTACTACAAGGACTATTTTTAAAAAATAGATAAATATGATAAACAAAATAGATTGAAATTTTATATTTATGATTAAATTGAAAGTCAAAATAACTCTTATATTAAGAACTAGATATAGTATATGAACTAGAGATTTCTTTCCCATACGATGCACGGATTAAAATATTTAATTAAATTTTAAATGATAATAAATTGTATTATCTAAGGCAGCTTAAAATTATATTCACTTTTTATAGAAGTGTAATTTTTTTTATTCATTCAAATGAGATTTGAATTAGAGATTCAAAAATTAAGAAGACCATATAAAAATTTAAAATTATTTATCTCTTTCTCTATTTAAGCCCCCAATTGACGTATTATTTAATTATGATATTTTCTATTTAATTCAATATATTCAAATCCCAATTAAGATATCATTTAAACTCAAAATTAATTATTAATTCCTTCATTTGACTCTCAAATTGAAATCCCATTTAATAATGATACTCTTCATTTAATTCAATATACATAAATCCCAATCAAAATATTATTCAAATCTTATCAATTAAATAGATTCGGATGTCTTCATGTTATACCCGACCCGTTTTTAAACGAACTGGATATTATAAGTTTTTAAGAATATAATTGATTGATACCAAATTAAAAATTAAGAAAAATATAAATACACGTAACAGAGTAAATCGTGGTAAGATATTTAAGATCAAATTAGATCTTAGGATCAGAGGTAATAATTTTTTTCATGATATTCACGACAAAATCGCGCAACATAGTCGGTCATATGCATTTTGGCTGACCATAATAATGGGCATCATGGGTTGAAAACTCCCTTTTAACAATTAGAAGTGTTTTACGTTCTTTCCCACAGCGTAACAACTCAAGTTTTGAGTTTTTGCTGAAAAAGATCCTCATATTTAATACTACCTTTGATTTTAATTATAAGAGCTTGTTGAGTAATCTGAAAAGATTAAAGAAAGAAGTTAAGTTAGTTATTTATAATAAATATGTATTGTTTTTCCTAAAATATTCTTACTAATCAAGTGTATTGGCTAGAACTATCATTGTTAGAAAGACTATCTTAAAAAAAAAGCATAAATATTAGAGACAAAGTAGATTGGAGTCTTATATTTAGGATCAAAATAAAATCAAATAAGATCTTATATTAAGAACAGGAGGTAATATTAATAATTTCTTGAATATTGCCTCAAAAAAAGACTTCTGTAGTCCAACAGGAAGCATAATTAAAGTTGGGATTTTAATTACTCAGACCAGGATGACGTGGCATATTCCAGCTTTTCAAGTGTAAATGAACGTGCCGTGAAGACTTGGTAAAGTCCTCCATTGGTTTTTTTTTTTTTTTATACATATTTACAAATTGCATTTGAACAGACGAAGTGGATTTCCATGATGGCCTTTGGCCTGGATAGCAATCTCAGGAGTGCTCTTGTGTGTGTGTGGGTGGTGTGAATGGAGAATTATAATACCGGGTTACGTACACCTACAAAAGTCCTTATAGTATAATTTATTGTACAACTTACTCTATAAATAAGATTTTACATTTAACATTAGAAGTGGATATAAAAACTAATTTGTTGTACAACTTACATTATAAACTAAGTTTTATGTTTAGGGGGTAGTGTCATGTTTGGAAATTTGTGTGAAGATTTTAAAGTGGTCGTGGCGCCAATTTTTTTCCCACAAGTTTTTATGAAAAACCTGACAAAATTATTATACGCGTGAATTTTTTTTTTAAAATATCGGGCAAGATTTTTCTGACGTGACGCAATTTTGCACTTCATTTGGTGTGAAGAGAAACAAAGGAATAAAAATTTATAATAAAAATAAATTTTAATCTTAGTATTAAAAGCAGTTTTTTAAATTAATTAAAAATTAAACAATAAAACTTCTCTATCTTATTTTTATTACTACTTTTGATTTTTAATATAAGAGCTAATTTGACTTTTAATTTAATTCTAAATACAAGACATTAATCTACTTTGTTTCTTATATTTATTTATTTTTTTAAAATAGTTTTCATAATAATTATATATATTAAATGTTGTATTACATGATAATTCTAATTAATACACATAATTAATAAAAATATTTAAAAAATATTTATTTATTATAAATAACTAATTTTTAGTTCTTACTATTAAAGACGTGCTGTAATATTACTCCTCCGGTCTTAATTATAAGACCCAATTGACTTATTTGAGGAGATTAAGGAAGTAAGTTAAGTTGGTTATTTATAATAAATAAGTGTTGTCATTCCTAAAATATCCTTGCTAATTAAGTATATTGGCTAAAACTATCATTATTAGAAGGATTATCTTGGAAAAAAATGCATAAATATAAGAAACAAAATGGATTGGGTCTTATAATTAGGACCAAATAAAAAGTCAAATTGAGTCTTATAATAAGAATCGGAGGAGTATTATTTTTTTGAACGGGGGCTCGCGTCCCGAACGGGGCCACGGCCTCTGCCCTTTAAAAAGGGAGTGACGCATGACGATGGCATTTCCATTTGAACTTTGGAGCAAACAGTTGCGACAATTTTTCGCGCCAAATCAGAGAGCCGGTGACATCTTGGAAGAAACGAATGGTGCAGGTGTGCTTCATTCTGGACCTGCGGAGCTTGGCTCTTCCATTGCTTAGAGACCTGAAGCAGGTACTACAAAAGAAGCTGCTCTCCCAGACTCCATCTCAAAGTGCTTTTCTGCTTTAGTGCTCAAGCATCTCATAATCGACTGTACGAACAAATCAATAGGATTTTCTCTAATACTTTAATGGTCTGAATTTCAATTCTCAGTCATTGCTTCAACTTTCTAACTTCTACGCCGTTTCAAATACTTCCTCATCGCCTCGTCGGAAATCGAACTCTCCCTCAGATAAGATCGGTCTGTGCTACGTCTTTAAAAATCGATTATCTTCTGCTGACGAGGTATTGGTTCCGTTGTACAAGTTATAATTATTTTCTTTTATGAACATCCGATTTGCACTATTAATTCGAAGTACGCAATACATGGTTCCTGCGATCCGTATGAGCGAGAGAGTGAATCTGCGTGTAACGCAGCTGAAGGTCGCCTATAATCCCAGAGAAAACTTCAATCTACACGATTTCCACCATGCTGTTAACAGCTTGCCCTCCGATGCCTTCCTGCCTGATAATGATAACAATTACGGTGCGTTCTCTCTCTTTATATCTCTGGTTTGAAGAAACGCGATGATTACTTGGCTGATTATTTTCAGATGTGATGCTTTCAACTGTTTTGAGTGATCAAGTATTGTACTCCTGGCAAGGTAAAGATATTGAGAGAAAAGCGATAGTCATAACTTCATTCTTGCCTGAAGATGTAGATTCTACAATGCAAGAATGCCTCATGGTGGGTCAGTGATTGCATGAATTAAGTTAAATGGTAATGGAAATAATTCCTTTTGTCTAGCAATCCAACGGCTGTTCTGTCTTTTTCCAGGATGCTGCAGATAGATGTGTTTCGGTTGATTTTGCAGTATTTCAGCAGAAGTCAAGCCATCTAACTGATACGCGTGAAAACATAAACAACTTCCGTCGTTGCATTTCTCATATTGAGAACTGCTCATTCCAGACTTACATCCCTGGTTAAGTACTCTGTCAACATCTAAAATCTGTTATTGCTTTTTGGATTTTGACAACTAATCTTTATATTTTTCGATACTGAAAGGAAAAAAAGAGAGAGAGAAGGTACAAGTCTCTTGTTGAAGTGCTTAATTGTTAATATTTGAGTCTGAAATTTCTGGAAAGCTTATAAATGATTGCAGATTTCAGAGTAATGCACAGTCTTGTTAAAAGATGGCTTCAGGTTTTACAAGATGACACGGAGGAGCCACTCCAAGCACGCCTCATTTTTAAAGAAAATCTATTAGATTCTGTGAACCACATATTTTGTAACCTGTATGCAGCTGCCATTCCAATCACCAATGGCTTTAGTCAATGTCAGGTAATGTGGTACTCACAATATTCTTCCTCATTAACTAATCACTCCAATTTTTGGCTAATGTATAAATCCATTCGTGTTCAAAAGTAGCATGTCTGTGTTGGTTTTTTGAACTAAGACACACACGTAGTTACCTGAATAAATTTGGACATACTAATGTATAAATTCATTCAAGTGACTTAATTCTTTCACTTTCAGAAATTGCCTTAAGTGATTCCTTCAATGGCGGTAATTTTTTCCTAGATTCTTGGAGCACTCCCTTTTTTTAATAACTCTCTTATTTTCCTCAAATGGACAAATCCACGGATTGTTCTAGGAACTCATTTCTAGACCATTGATGTTCTCCATATTTCATAAAGTTGGTCTTAACTCTTAGGAACATTTTTTATCAAGAGTAATTTTAGATTTTCACAGACTTTTATGCTTGCCAGTTTATTAGACATAATATGTTAAGGATTTACAATTGATCTCACGCTATAAAAGATGCAAGATCAGCATAATACTAAATAAATATTTTATCATATCTAGACGATATACATTGCATTTAAGCCATTGAGTATGCATATACTCGGAGCATTTTACTGCTAAATTTTGTATTTCCATCTATCCAGAGGAAAATCAATTCCGATGATTATATTTTCTTTTACTTTAGGTAGATTAAGGACACTATACTTTTCATATCTTCAATGAGATGAGCTCCATGTTCTAGTACAAACAGCCATAGCTAGAGCATAAGGGTAAAGATGTCTTGATAATCTCATAGAATCTAGTTAATGTACATTTTGTATTGTTACTTTCATTGTTGGGCTGGTTTTAAAATAATTATGCCAATTAATTATTCTGCATCATTTATCTTGAAATTACATATAATTCAGCCGCTATATCATTTTGATTTTTTTAAGGTGAAAAAGAGAAGCATTAATTATGGGAATCTTATAGACATGCAGATGTCATGGCATGCTGTTAGGAGATGCTGAAACAACCAAGTTCAACAGAATTTCTTGTCCAGTCACAGGCCGCAATCTGGAAGCATATGATGTTGTTGAAAATTCTGTTCGGGTTGGGGACAATACAGTTCTGTTTCTTCCATCATTCCATTGTTCCCTGAAGCTTCCGCAAATTAATTCACGAATTGACGTAACAGTTATCAAGAGGACAAGCTTGGCTTCTGTTAATGAAGGTAAATATAGCCTTTGGCATTTTATACACATCTTCAGAATCAGAGCATTGTTCTGCAAGGGTGCGTGTTTTCTATTTAAAGAAAACTGCAATATCCCCGTGGAGCGGTTGATGAAGGTACTTCGTCTGATAGACTGATTGAACAAACACTATGGTCTTTCTAGAAATCAAAGTAATATAAATTACATGATATATATCCTGTTTGAAGGGAGTTATGTCTGATTCACTGGAAACGAAGAAAATATCTTTCAATGGGTTTCCGACAAATTTATTCCTAGTATTTTGGCATCCCTGATATTTTTATTCTAAATGCCTTTGTGGCTTACCATCTATTTACCCTCAAGCAATGCTAGTTTTGCACTTTAATGCAGGTCTGATAATGGGGGCTTCCTTCTTTGTGGTTCCATTCCTCTGTCATGTGATTGAATCTACTTCAGATGATGCTGACCAGTCGGACTTGAATTCTCTAGGTGTGTACTAATCCTCAATTGAATTCCCTCTTGAATTCCAATTTAACAATGTTGGCATCACACGAGGGGCGTGACATAGTTGTCCGAATTTTTCTTCTCCAATAACCAATATACGTTTGTCAAAAGTTTTTCACAAGATATAAGTTTCTTCCATTATTTTAATTATAGCTATAATTTGACAGTTTTTCAAGGCCTTTCTAGTGTTCTGCACTCGATGGACCAAGGTTTGATATGCTTTTCGAATAGTGATTTAGAAACAATGACAGAGGTTCCTTTCCGCTGCTATTACATTCTGCAGCCATCAGATAACGGGCCAATGCTCCTTAGGGTAATCACTAGGCCTCTCTTGCTCTCAATAATTGTTTCATGATATCTTTGATAGCATATATACTGTATGGCTCATATACCCTGATGACGTTTTGTTGTCCCCTTTTAGATCCGTGTAAGTGTAACCAATGTCCATAAACATGCAGCGTCTTGCAGGTGCAGAAGAAGTATTACGAGTTCCTGATAATCGATTGGTTAGCTCATCCGCCAATAAGGAAATTGAGAATTCTGTTGAAGCCTGTTTGTTGAAGGTTCGATTTAAACATTTTTAAGATGTCTGTCTGCCCCCCACCCCGCCCCAACACAAGCATTTTCTTTGCTTTCCTTTTCCAATGACAGTTCGATGCACACATATACCATGCGATATTTTTGGTCCAAAAAAGAAACCGCAATGTAATATCGACATTATTCCACCAAGATCCACTGTAGAGTGTCTGTGTCTAAGGCGGGAAATTGCATTCTGCCTTCTTTTATTTTTATTTTTCATGTTCCGCTGGGAGCTTCATGTGTGTGTGTGGGTGGGTGAACTTATCTAGAAGAATTTTGGTTGTTCTGTGAGTTTTTGAATCTCACATAGCGGGACCAAGGTCTTTTTTAATTATCGGAGTCCTGGAATGGTGCATTTATCACTTTCTGCTAATTACTGATGGAATTAACTAAACAAAACAATACCTATTGAGCTTGAATTATACTAGTATTGATTATGTTCCTAGAAATTTGTAACGTGTCAGGAAAATTATGCATGTAGATTGATCTAGCGCACTATGATCCCTTGCTGCATGAAAGAGGCTTTCATCAAAAGCTAAACTTGCTTGTCCGAGAAAGCTTGCAGTTCGGGTTAGTGAATTTCTCCATCCATTTTGACATGTGCCAGCTAATGAGCTTAAAAATGCACTTGAACATGAATGGCCTCTTAAAAAAACAATCTTTTCTTCTTAAGAAAATAATAAAAATAAGAAGAATCAAAGGCCTGTATTTAAGAGCAAATGCTGCCCGGTATAAAAACAGATAATATATTTTCTGTGGATGGACATTTACTGCATTGTTAAAGAATTGAACTCGCATTCGCAACTTTTCCGAAGAAAAAGAAGGCCTAACACCATTATACGCAAATTCTTTCACACAGTGCTATTGATATTTATCATTATCAATCATTGTAGTGTGTAGCGAAACCAGTTCCTCAACTAAATATTCTCAGTTCCCTCCACATTCATTGATTGTATTCTATTGTAGGTCAATATTTCCTAAAGAGGGAGACGCAGCCGTTGATGCAAACTCAGGTGAAAAACCATCTTTAGAAATGACTGGGAAAGCAGAAACAACCTTATTTGTGGACGGAAAATGCTCGGCATGGGATCTTACAACCCAAGAAGACAATACCATCGCCTGTATTACTAAAGAATGGGAGCAGTTGGTCGTAAACGAGGACCCTAATAAGATGGATTCTCCATCTTGTATGCGCAAACCCAAGTTGGATAAAAAATTTGTTTCGACACGTGATTGTAATAGGCAGCTAGATAGAGAAACTTCGAGGATTTTAGAGAGATTGGAGGTTCCAAGACCACTAAAAGCAAAGTCGGTGTCTCCTGTTTCAAATACAACCATGATGAATACAAGTGTGCCCACAAAGAAACCTCTCATACCATTCCACCAGCCAGTTCAAGCTACAGAATCAGTCTCTATTGGCAGCCAGCTAATGAAACCAAATTTCCAAAGGCTGAAAAGGAAACATAAATGAAAAGAAGGTTGCCGCCCATGCGTTGCTTGAATAAAAATGATTCAGAAGTCAATAAGGTCAGCACGCATTGCTCTTTTTCTCTTTTAAATTTCACGTTTCAAATTATTTTCTGGACAAATTTTGTGTCGGTCGCTGCACTTATGGATCTGTTTTACTAAATGCTAGAGGTGTGAAGGTTCTTGATAATTTCAGTTCATTTGTTTATTAAAATATACTACAGATTTAGTTTAAGAGTTGAATTCTTTCTTGAGATAATTTTGGGTGTAGAAGCAGCAATATTAGATGGGGTTGAACAGTAATGAAAATCTTATGACAAATTATTTGTAAAAGACAAGTATATCAATCTAATTATTAAAAAAAACGTGGAATGCGGTCATAAATTTGGCCATAAAATATAAATGGAAATAACAAAGCTCCTTTATGATTAATATTTTTTTTTTGGGGTACCTTTAATTCCACTCTTCTTGATAGGTTAGGTTCGGTAGTATGTTTGACTTCTTTGCTTAGACGATTGGCAGGTGGGCCATTTTAGTTTTGTAAGGGAGTAGAAATGCATCATACGTGCAAAGCATAGCGGTTGTTGTGGATAGAACTGAGGGTGACGTCAACACGTTTCTTTGGTTTTGTTTTTGTTTTTGTTTTTTTTTTTTTTTGCCCCAACGGAAACACCCCAAAAGAAGAGTACAAGGAAAACCATTTGCCAATTGAATCCACGGCAACAGTATGAGGAAGCTTTGCGTGCACACGCGCACAAACATTATGGGTCTATAAAGCGTGTTTGGTTGGAGCCTCTAAATTGAAAGGTCTGGATAGGAATACTTTGGAAGAACTCGCTTTCTGTGAGAGATAAACCCAAGAAAGGAACGAGTACTTGCTCAAATCTGATTGAGGAAGACAAAGGGGTTTACCAATAAACTGACAACGAGTGCAGATAAGCATCTTAGAATTTATTTCTTTCAAGTAGTTAGAGGAAAATTCCATTCTAATTGTAAATATATTACTTATATGTAAAATAAAATCCTTAATCTGGTTCGAAAAGAAATTTAATTTGGACAATTAAGATGTGACCATAATTATAATTAAAAATACAAAATAAGTACTATATTGGATCTAACATTCAAGCAACACTCTTCATCTAGATTCGGGAATTAATTATTAATTTATTAACTAATTCCCAATCACAAGCAGAGGATATCATTTGATAGCCTTAGATGACGAAAAAAGACCTTAGTCGGGTATATTCCGATTGCTATATGCTCCGTATCCGATTTCGCCCAACCCCTTGTTCTCTTTGCAGGGGCTCCAAGCCTCCAATCTCTTTCGCAGAATTGCTATTTGGACTTGTTTCCGTAGTACTGTAGTGACAGCACCCACATACGCATCACGCTGACGCACTGATGCCATAGTCATCCAACCACGCACCTTTTGATTTAGGCGGCCAACTCACAGCTTTGTTTATTAATCCCACATCTTCCTTGGTTACAATATTATGATAAAGATTACAAAGAAATATACACCATCACAAAAAACTGTACACTGAGGTAGTAGCCCATCATCAAGGAGAAGGACCAGATCATTCCCACAGCTCTCTTTTAGAAATTCTCTTTATGGAAGTCGAATTTCGTGGTTGTCTTGTGAGAGAAATCCGAAGCTAATTGGCGAAGCTCTACGGTGAGCGCCTGAATTCCACAGTAAAACACCCCTGCATGAAGCGTGTTTTTGTTAGTTCGCAGACACCAATCCTTTTGGATGTTACTTTCTGCGCTATCTATCTTTGCTTTCTAGCACTTCAGTAATATAATAATAAAAAAATTATGACTCCGCGGAGATAAAGCTGCTTTGATTAAACAAAAGGATCTTTGGAAAAAGGCGAAAAAGGTATGAAATTATTGAAGTATTATTAATTAAAGACTTCGACATTGTGAAAAGAAGCTTTGGTTAAAGATGTGGGAACTCACCAACCCGGGCTTGTGGATGAGCAAGCGCAATGCGCTTGTACACACTACGCCAATTGGGTTTGGCAAAGTGAGTCATGACGCGAGTGCCAGAGACAATGTCCACGCCATTCTTTGCGTGGTTTAGAGACTGTAGCATAGCGATAAGAGCAGAGCGTGCGTCACCCTCTTCATAGACACTGGTGCAGTAATTGTGGAGCTCAATCACTCCACGATGGTCTGCTTCAGCTGCCTCATTCATTACCCCTTTGAACCAGTCAAAAGAACCTTGTTCTCTAGTCACCCAGTAGAAGTAGGCCTTTCTAGTTTTGAACTCACTGTGCCCAGCTTTCCTGTGTTGGGATTTGCCACTTGCTCCTTCCTCTAACGCCATCTCCTCCTCTTCTTCCATCGCCTTGTAGTTATTAACTATGTCCTTCACTATACTGATCATTGGGGTAGCTCCAATTCCTAATCCCACTAGTAAAACCACCTCATACTTCTGATAGTCTTGAGCTGGTGCTCCATATGGTCCATCAATCAGAACTTTAGGAAGAGAGCTGCGTATTGTAGTCATAAATAAAATAGAACTTGTCAAGTCTACAAAAATCTTCAATGCTTAGTAATCGCGTGTGGAAGCTTAAATTTTAAATGGCTTCAGTAGGTTTCACTAATCAAGCTACTGAACCTAACTTAAATTAGTTTGCATGATTGAGTGGGATGACTACTTAGTGCTTACCCTTTCATGCCAAAAAATTCAACTGGCATCTTTATCACCTGGGTTGCGTAAATGTCTGGATTACAATGATATGGTTATAATATTGTTTTGGCCACTAAGGTACAAAGGTGGTCCCGGGAATGCATGCAAGATCAGTGCTACCCAAAAAGCACAACCAACCAAATTTGGATCTTTTAGAAGCAGAATATGCTTAAACCAGTAATCGAGTTCAAACTAGAAGTAGAATTGGATAGGAGCAATCCATCCACAGCTTCAATTATTGGGTTCATTATCCTAAGTGTGACCGCAAATTCCAGTTCGTGAGTTGACAAGTGAAAGCACAATACTTTCACCAGCACGCCACATTTTCACTATCCTAGTTTCAATAGATCTTTTGTGCAATTCCAGACAATAGTTTATGCTTTTGAGCTGTAATGTAACTATCTAACAGGGACTACTTTTTTATAGAAATGAATACTTTGGGGAAGTAAATTTTCTCTCTCGAGACATGCCTTACCTTGGAATGCTATCTCCTTGCATGCATTCAGCTCTTAGAAGTCCACTCTTCCCATCTGGGGGAGGTCGGCATGCCTAAAAGGAACCAAAGCAAGAACTTGAATAATTATAGAAATTTTCACTCAAGAAAAAGCATTGAAACCGGACATCACCTCTGAGAATTTTGCTTTTAGGCTCCGAGTCCAGTCACCTGCTGTTCGAATATGAACACTGAGGTAGTCATCACCGGGGGCTGAGGTTATGGAGAACGGATGCCTGAAATCCAATAGCACTTGAGGAATTAGAGTCTGGGAAAACAAACAATAGGGAAAGGGAAATGGAAAGTGGAAGTGATCCTAACCCCTTGGGGGTCTCAGACTATGTTTTCTTCAGTACATACCATTCAAACGGAGATACAGCAGCACAATTGACAAACATGAATTGTCCACTCCTGTATCTAAACCCATGAGGCTTTGACATGTAAATTGCTAACACATTTCCAGGATAAACAGCCACCTTCAAGTTTGGCATTGAAATTGCAGTGAGACAATATCTCTAAATCTTTTACTCATAGGCTTAGCCAAAAGAAAGGCCTTATTTTCTTTAGGAGTAACTGGATTTTCAATATTTGATAATTACCTTTAATATTCTCACAGGCTTGATGCTCGATCTGAGTGCTCTAATCAACCTTTCCAATACATAGATGATTATAGGAATAGCCAAATACATCCAGGTCTACAAAACACACGAAATGATTAAATTCTGTGTAAAAATCAGTTAACGAAGATAAAGGTGGAAGGGTTGAGTTGACTCAAGGTGCTAACCGTTTTCTTGTACCATTTCTTGGTCAGGTAAAGTTTCACTCCATGCACTATCAACATGGCATATACAATGACAAAGAGGTGATGGGAATACCAAAAGGCATTGAAACCGGTGAGCTTGTCAAGGGGTTTGGGTAGCTTCACTTTGCCTCTCCTGAACCAAGGGGTGGCCAGGGTGAATGCTATTGCCATTAGCACTACCATTATAATCCCTGTCACTCCTTCCCATGATTTGACAAAATGCCAATAACTAGCGGGTTTACGTCCAAAATATTGCGCCACCAACATGTACTTTTCATCACTTGCATCAAGAATGCGAGGGAAATCACAAGTAAGATGATAAATAGCATGTATACCAACGCCAATTGTTACTCCCACGGCTATCACCTGCAAAACACACCAATTTTTAACCAGAAGAAGAATGCATGCTCCTTATTGCCTGGTGAAATTGTGAAACATGCTAATTATCTTTTTTCCCCCTTATTCTAGCCACTCTATTTTGTTGTCTGAAAGGAATGGGCAGCACTTCAAATTACCTTGTGGAAGTTGAGATTATCATCAAAAGGAACTACAACACCTAGCCTCGTCTTATTCCTGATCCAGGTGACGGTGTTTCGGCAAACAGGTAACAAAATAAGAGCCATGTTCAATTTTAGAGTCTCCGCTGCACCTTTCGCCATGCATACACAATGGCCCATTACGTTATACACGTCCTCCCTTTCTCGATACTGCATGTACTTGTAGACAAATAAACCCGCCATCACACCCATCCACAGTGCCAATACCCAAGCTCTCTGCCAGTTATCCTGTAAAAAGTATGAGGTGTCCCTGTACCACCGCCTAACAACATTGTTGTCATAGGTAGGCATGAGCTTTTGGCTTAGCATTCGGCTCAGGTACTTGCTGTCTCCCCTTTTAGAAGTTTCAGGCCCATGCAACAATAGCACCTCCAGGTGTTCTATCTGTTTTTCCCCAGTAAAAATCACCAAATGACCCAAAATCATGTGGCTGAGATGAGAATTCTGTACTGGTAAATGCTTGTGCTCCATGCTTAAGATTAAAGGTTAAGTAGTTACCATGATAAATCCTGTGCCTTCTGGGTCTAGTTCTTCCATAATCAAAGCCGCGTATTCTTCTGCTTGTTTCTGGATATTCGTGAGTTTGTTGGTAGTGGCGCTAAGGCAGATAATCTGAAAAGTAAATACAGAATTGAGTGAGCAGGGTCAAGGAAAATTTCGTCATGGAAATGCAGGCTGGAAATATAAACTGATCGATCTACTTTACTATTTTTTTTCCTTCCCGGTGGAAGAAACATAGAATCTGCAAGTGCTTGGAAATTGGAATCATCTGTTGTGAATCAAAGAATTCCTTACCTCTTTGATTTCTTCCTCGGTGATTCGGCCATCTGCATCTTTATCCACCCTGCATCCCAAAGTAAGCAATGGTGATTTATTGAAGCCTTTCCGGGCATTGAACAAATTCTGAATTTATATTAATAACAGCTAAGAATTACATGTCAAAGAATGTTCCAAGCCTAGAATCGAAGCTCTGGTCGGAAATCTGGTCCCAGAAATCCTTCAGATGTGCCTTGTTAATGGAATCTCCCTGAATTCCTCTCTTCCGAGCGAGTGCATCAAACAGCTCCAATGCAAAAGCCTCAGATTCCTTGTTCATTCCTACAAAAAAAAAAAAAAAATCCAGAGTCCGCCTTAAAAACTGATCCAAAAGCCAAAAAATTTAGTTACAACTAGACAAAACGATGGAGAAGAAGGTCGGTTTGTAATACCTATACATTTTCCGAAGAGAGCACGAGGAAGATAGCCATCTGTGCTATCAGTAAGCTTATCAAATTGCTTCTCAACCTCGTCCCACCCTGCACAACCATCAGTCTTACTGATAAACTTGAGTCCCTTAAGAGCATGAGCAGCCGCAGATTTAGTCCTATCATAGCGTTTCATTGGTGCTGCTGGCTTTGAAAAAGAAGCCAAACGCTTCAGTTCCTGAGATACGTGCTTCACCTTAATAGAAGCATTACGCACAAGTGAAGCACCAAAAGATGTTTTCTTCTCAAGGCCTTTGCCAAGCAAACCCGATCTCTCATCTTCACGAACATTCCCACCTGCAACAGTTTTAACACTGTGTAACGCAACAGAGTCTCCTTGTATATCCATTGTGACCTCAACATAGGTTCCTTCGTCTCCATCCTCTGCTTTGTTTCCACTGCTGCTTCCATCTTCAGGAACACTGAACTGGGGACTCTTCCTTCCAACCCTTTTGCTCAAAGGTCCACTTAATGGACCACTATGAGGTACCCTCTCACCTCCAATGAGCTCTATGTCTGATTCACGACCATGAACTTCTGATGAAGCTCCTATCACCTCGTTTTCTGCTCCCATTTTCTGCTCAATTTCTCAGATTCTGATGCAGATTCTGTAGGGGACTATATAATAGTACTACACTCCTATCACTTTCTGATTATTTTTTTTGCTTTCTGAATAATATGCTATACTCGGCTGCATTCTATCTTGAAGGAAAGATCGGTGGACATATTTGTAGGCAGACACGGGTTGGTGCTGTGAAAACGAGAGAGGCAAGAAATCAGAGATCCTTGTCGATTCCTGATTTTTTCAGTGGAATGAACTTTTGACAAAAGGGGGCAAGGCAAGAACAGGATGAGGAAACCTCCAAGTGATATCAATCAATGATTTTTTCCATCCCCCTCTAAATTTAAAAAATTAAAAAAGGTGAGGGAAATCCGTGATGGGAGGAACATATTATATTATACTACTGTATAGTATTAGGTGACCCTCTTACCAGTGGGGATCTGAACGCATGTCATTAGCAATTTAGCATTTAGCACTTTAATTGATTTTTTTTAAAAAAACGAGAGAGCTTTAGAGCGACGTGCCGGTCATAAACACATTGATATATTCCACAACTAGACATCAAAAAATTTCTGTTGACTTTACACTTAACCCTACGGAGGAAAAAAAGAGTCTTACTTAGGCTATGTAGGTAATTCCCTCAAAGCCTTAATACTAACTAGTAAAATTCATGTGGAAAATATAACTTCTTGTGCTCCGGATATTTTGCTCGCATGCCTAACCTTTTTGTCGGAACTGTCCAATTGTTATATTTTATCTTTTCAATATTTTTCTTCATTTAAAAAGTATATCAATTGTTAGCACCAAAAAAAAAAAGAGTCGTTGGCAAAAAAAAAAAAAAGAGTCATCGTTTATCCGATAACTAGATGTGACCCATGCAGTACACAGGTGATTACTTTAACATTAATTAAATGAATTAATATAGGAAATTTTTAGTTATAGTCATTAATAAAATGAGAAAATTTTTGTTTTTTTTTCCGTTAGTAATGAAAATACAACTTAATTAAGCTAGTTTTACAAATCCATTGATATGTAATTATATGAAGCTTTTGTTTTTTTTTAAATTCTAAGGGCAATCCAAGAGTAATTAAAAATGAGATATCATAATTCAAAGTGTCACTGAATAATGTGATTTACAAATTGGCTACAAATCTTGTTAATTTTAAATATTCAAAAATTCGACCTATGCCTTTTATTATTTCAAATTAATCCAATAATCGCCGAATTGAGATGTTAAGTAGAATAATGTGACGTAGGTTTTAATCAAAGAGTAATGCATTGATCTGGTTAAAATATTATTGATCAGATCCTTAAGAAATATTATTACACATGTAAAAGCTATTATTATATATAACCAAGATTTGAGTTAGCTTATGGTCTCATCAAGCTAAGATATTAAAAAGTGCCAGACAACGCTTTCAGTTTTCACTGAACATCTTGCCCATGCAATAAAATGAATTTATTAAACCGAAAGTAAAAGATTAGAAGTAAATAAAGACCAATATATGCTTTTGCCTCAATAATTAACAACCATATAAATTTCTAAAGATACCTTTTCTAAATGGTGAAACATCCCCCAACTTATTTATATTATAGTTTACTTCTAGATGATATATGTAATCCGGGCCACATGGATTCCAATGGTTAATGATTCAACTGAAGTAAATTAACAGAACTGGATAATCAAAGAAAATTTTCTTCCTTCCTGATCTTAGGTATTATTGGAATTTAAATATTGTTTGAAGAAAGAATTTAGCTTTCTCATCTCTAAATTTTTACCTCTTATTCCTTCGAAAAATCTTGAATAATGAAATAAGGCTCTTCAATTAGCTTACCAAGAGATTTGCTAAAATAATAAGCTTTAGGAAGATTTCTTGCCAAAGCAAACGGCAGTTTTTTATTAACTCAAATTTCATTGAAGCAAATATTATTATTATTATTATTATTATTTTAACTTACTTCCTTTCTAATTTTCATTTATGTACTTCATATAATATGTTTTGAATTCTGTATATCCCTGTTTTATAAAATAGTGGTTTGTTATTATGTTGTATTTTTTCTGCATATTGTTTTTTATTTTGAAAAAGGTAAATCAACAGTACAGGCTGAACAAATTGGATGGCCTTTCCTTCGTCATTACTCTATTTTTGCCAGATCCTTTGTCGTTACTCTCCTTCACGTGTTCATTCCCCGTATTCTATCTTCCTTCGTCGCAAATGGCGATTGACTTTGTTTTTCCGTGCCACCAACCCCACCTTTGTCTTTTTAGCTTTTTATCCAAGGACTGGCAGTAATTTAATAGTTGCTCTTGTTTCTAATTATGAGAACCGTTTAATGAATTTATATGTATTAATGGAATCAAATATTAATTAATTATAATAAATATCACACCCATCTATAACATTAAATTATATACAAGTTTTTTGTCCAATGATTATATATGATAAATATAAAAAATAAAACAAATTGATATCTTATATTTAAAATCAAACATAACATTTTAACAAGCTCAATATTAGAAACTAGGTGCAAAAAGAGTATTAATTAATAATGTATGCTCCTAGATACCAGATCTAATTAATAATTTTTTTAGTCTTAAATATAAAATTTTAATTTTTTTTGTCTTTCACACTTAATATTCTTTCCGGCCGCGTTAACCTCGTCAATTTCATTATTTTTCTTCCCCTTTGCCGCCTGCATTGAATGCCTTCTTCTAAAGGGGAATATTCTAGGAAAAAATAACATGTGATTTTTATATAATAGTAATAAATGATTGACTTGACCAGCTTTTTAAAATTTTTATGATCCACTTAACTAAATTTTATATTCAGAATCGGAATAATATGCCAAGATCACTCATTTGATAGTGAGAAACGGCGGTTCTGAAGGCCTCAACTCTCCAGTACTTTAAATTAATAATAGGCTACATTAAAAATAGCATTAATATAATATTAAATTTGTCATCATTTTGATTTGGGTCCCTCGACTTTCAAATCATAGGTTTTGGTCCATATATAAGCAAAATAATCTAAGTTTTGATGATATTATAAGGATTAATATTTTAAATGAAAAAATTTGAATACCAAAACCTATGGTTTAAAACTTGAGAGACCTAAAACCAAAATAAGAGCAAAATTAAAGGGCTAAAGTTTGTACTAACCCTAAAAAATATCTAAGTTTGCCATCATTTTTTCAAGAAGCTGAAGTTCAAACTCTAAATTGATAATTATTTGCTGGTCCAAAAAAATTGATAATTATTTCGTAAGTGGGGGGTTTGTAATTTAAATGACATTAAATATTTTTTTTATTTTAAGTGTGTGGTTATAGTGTGATTTGCACTATAAAAAAATATTATATTTAAGACCGGAAGAGTATTTTTTTAATTTAAGATAAAAGAAACATACGGACTACGGACGTTTTCTTTAACTTGCGCAGAGGTTACCAGTTGATATATTATGGAATTCAAAATTCAATGGAAAATATGAAGAGGCTTTGATGTACAATTGACGGAGGGGATATTTCCATGACGGACTCTTTTTATTTTTGTGAGAATCTCATAAAAAAAATTTAAAATTACTAAATCCAAATGAAATTTTTTTTACAAAAATGTGTTATTATTTAGAAGTCTAGTATTGTTAAAATATATTAAAATGTTGTTATCAAGACCTAATTTAGGATTTAATAATTTCAATTTTTTTTAGGAGTATCCTTTTATCTTCCTCAGTTTCTTTTTTCCCCCTCTTCCGAAAGGCAATTAATTGTAACAACCACGGCTTTTTTAGCCTTTAATTTGCAGGCATGGAATTTTCCATTGTTCTTGACATATACTTGTCCTTATTATAAGATCCAATTTGACTTTTTATTTGGTCCTAATTATAAGACCCAATCCATTTTCTCTCTTTTTTATGCATTTTTTCCAAGATAATCCTTCTAATAATGATTTTTAGCCAATATATAATTAGCAAGGATATTTTAGGAATAACACACTTATTTTTCAACTTAACTTACTTTTTTAATCTCCTCAAATAAGTCAATTGGGTCTTATATTAGGATAGGAGTAATTGAATATATTTTCTAATGCTATTCATCATCTTGCATTATTTTTCACAGTTACCAAGTTGTTATAATTTTTCCCAATCAGCTATTCCTCGTTTGTTTTGATAGTCATATTTTTTGTTTTCATTCATCTACCATTTTTATGTGAAACCAAGAAATTTTCACATCAGTTAGGGTCCGTTATTCATTTCTCATTGTAGAATTCAGAACAATATTAATTTTTTTAATTATATCATTATCTTTTAAAATTTGATTATAAACTAAACAAGATAATTATGGAGAGAAAAGTTAAAAAAATTAAAGGCTCATTGTGAAATTAAAAAAAATTTGACACATCAATTATACATTTGTTTTTCTACATCCAAATTAAAATTCATAAAGCGTATGGTATAATTAAAAGAAGCTCCTTTTTAAATTTCACAAGTCTTAAAAATCAAAACCTTATCATGAAACATTAAAAAAAAGTCAACAAATATTAGTCTAATTAGTAAGAATTTAACCTATAACATATAAGGTTATGAATTAATCTTACTATTAATATGATAATATTACTCCTCCGGTCCTTAATATAGGACTCAATTGTTGAGTTAGTTTGGTCAAATATAAGACCCATTTATCATATTTATCAATTTTTTTTTAAATATCCCTATGGATACTTCCTCAACTATAATCAAATAGAAGAGGGAGATGAGGTATTAAGAAAGATGATTATGTGTTTTAAGGAAAAATGTGTCATTTATAATTAACCAACTTACCTAACTTCCTTAATCTAATCAAATTAGTTAAATGGATCTTATATTAAGGACCGGAGATATTAGCGAGTGATTTATAAGCATCTGGTTTTATTAATTTAGAATGTGTAATGTATACATGATAATGTAAAAGAATCATGTCATACCTTCATATCCAAAATACATTTACACCCACCTCGTCCATAGAAGAGTAAAGGACATTTG